GCACTAAAGTTGAAGGAATGTCCTTACAGCTAGGGTGCCTTCTAATTAAATTACTTATTGTGTGGCATTTCAAATATGGCAAAGGTTTGCCATATGGCTCTTTAAATTCTTTAAATTTTGGGTGTCTGATTCCCATAGACTCTAGCATACCATCAAAGTGATGACCTGCTCTATCCTTAATAGCTATAATATGACAGAAAAATAATTGCCGAGAATTATTTCTACTAGATTCATAGAAATAAGAGATGCAAAAGTTCATAACGTGTCCAGGTTTAAATAAGAGCAGGCAGTGCTACAGTAAATATAGTCAAAAGCCAGGCAAGAGCACAGCTGCATTACAAGAGGTCATGCATGTAGCAGGGAGATACCAGACAGGAGACTTCCTGGATATGTTACAAAACAGTTTAAAGCAATATAAATTCTTTAGAAAGCCTAAATCAATGGGGGGAAAGGAAAAATATACAAAAAAATTTGGCAGGTTTTTTTTTTTATTCTGATGGTTTTTAGTGAGTTCTTGAAACCTTCTGAATTCAGACAGGTGTGTGAGATTTTGCATGATCAAGGGGTTTTACTGACATGTGAATAAAATGATTAACTAATTCAGTTTTGTATCACTTTTTTAAGTTAGGAAGATTAAAAGCATATATGGCCTAGATAACACAGTACTCTTTCCTCTGGAACAAAATCCCCTTCTGTTGCTCCATTGAAACTAAAAGGATGTTTAGGTTTGATGGCTTTGCTCAGGCAGAGGATCTGACAGGTAATGACTTTCAACCATCCCTTTCACTGTGACTTTCTGCAACGTTATGCAGTTTTTTTCCTCTCTTTTAGCAGGGAAAGTTGTGGGGAGGAGTTTGATGGGACCTGAGAGCTTGTGCTTTTTGTTTGTCGCTGAAGGTCAGTCTGTAGCCTGCCACCAAGAAAAGCCTGGGAGCAGAACCGGGAGCAATGCCAAGGGCTGTGGGGTCAGCTCATTCTGCCCTATTCACACTCAGGCCAGAAGTGGATAATGTCTGCTGACATATGGGGAGGCTTGTAACTACTCCCAGAGCTGACTGATGAACCCTGCTTTACACTGACATGGTTTCTAGGGCACGTTATCCCTCTGTGCCAGTGCAAAGCGCTGTCAACAGCCACCGCTTGACAAATGAACACATCTGCTCCTGTGCCCACAAAGTGCAGGATCAGGTCAAACAATGGGGACCATCTATTTTTAACTCTCTCCTAACATGGTGTTCAGACTTTGGTTCTATTCCTGAGGCCACAAGCTGCTTCTCCTAAAGAATTTGTTGTCTTGTTCTGTCTCTTATTCAAAAGAATAGTCAATCTTCATTAATAATAGCTAATATATTTGGATGTCTAGGGTAAAATTTTGGGAAAAAAACCCTGAAACAAAATGCTTTAAACAAAAATTTATTCCCTTTCTCCTAAATTGCCTGAAATGACTAACATCATTGAAGACTTCTAGCCTTGAAGACCAACTTCACATTGATGGCTCTAACATAAATGATCTTTTGTGGGGAGCTCTTCAGCATTTCTGTGAAAACATTCTGACATTGTGTTCCAAAGCCTCAAAATAAAACCACTCACATGCACATGGGTGGTGTTAGCCTTTAATTGAAGCTGTCTTCTCCTTGGCATTGTTGCAGCATACAGGCTGATAGATTAGAAAACTGGTTGTTTGCTGTGGCCTGCTCTTTGCAAGGAGACATTTAGGCTTCTGCACTGGTGGTTTGTGTGGATGCTAATTTGTCAAAGTGATTTAGGAGTCCTTTACTCCCACAGCAAAATGAACACAGGAACCTGTTTGATACAGCAGAGCTCTGTCCTTCACTTACAGGCGCAATCTTTCCCTTGTGTTTTGCCATCACAGAATATCTGTATTAGGCACCTGAATTTTTAACTATTAGGAATCTATAATCTCTAATGGTCTGGAAATAAAGTGGAAAAGAAGGCAAGTATTAACATTACTGCCCTTCCATAAATATAGCCTCAACATTTGGCAAAACAATTTTTTTAAAAAATCCAGGGATTACCAGGAGTTCTGGGGTCTTGCCACTGCTAATCTGACTCAGAAAAGACAGGTATTCAATAAAGCACCATATGTACTTGATTTTCACTCAGACATCCTTTAAGAAAAAAACCTGTTTGATCCCCTTTGCTTCTGGTTGTTTTGTTTTGTTGGGCTTTTTTAGCAGCTTACAGTCTGTCTCCAAAAGAAAACCACTACGATGATATAAATCAGACAGTGATCAATAGAACATTCAATTTTATTTTTTTTTTACATAAGCTACAAAATGTGTAGTCAGCTCCAATATCCTGGTTTGGAGCTAACAGTGGGTTTTAGTCTATAATGAAGGATAGCAGATCAGTAACTGGTGGGTAGTGATATTGCTCTGAAGAAACTACAGTGAGAACACTGAATGTCAGAAGAATGCTAACACTTGCACCAATGGTATAAATAACAGTAAGAAAGATCACCTTAATAATTTAATTCTTCCAGTGGAATGACAATGGATTAGTGATACCTTCTGCAAAATATATTTGTGTCTTTATCCTTTGATTTTCTGCTGTCTTTTGATTTTTCTACTCCACTCTTGTAAGACCTCGCCTGCAGTACTGCACCCGTCTCTGGGGTCCTCAGCATAGGGAGGACATGGAGATGTTGGAGCAGCTTCAGAGGAGGGCCACCAAAATGATCAGAAGGTTAAAGCATCTCTTCTGTGAAGAAAGGCTGAGAGAGTTTGCTTTGTTCAGCCAAGAAAAGACTCTAGAGATACCTTATTGTGGCCTTTCGATACTTAAAGAAGCCTTGTAAGAAAGATAGGATCAAACTTTAGTAATGCTTGTAGTGACAAGACAAGGGGTAATAGTTTTAAACTAAAAGATAGTCGATTTAGACTAGATACAAGATTTTTTATTTTTTATTTTTTTTGATAATGAACACAGTGGGATACTGACACAGGTTGCCCAGAGAGGTGATGGGTGTCCTACCCCTGGAAGATTGGAGGTCAGGTTGGATGGGGCTCTGAGCAACCTGATCCAGTTGAAGATAGAATCACAGGATCATTAAGGCTGGAAAAGACCTTTAAGATAAATCAAGTCCAGTTGCCAACCCAGCACTACCACCATGTTCACCATTAAACCATGTCCTCAAGTGCCACCTCAACACTTTTTGAACACTTCCAATGATGGTCACTCCACCACTTCCCTGGGCAGTCTGTTCCAATGGTTAACCACCCTTCCAGTGAAGAAAATTTTCCTAATATACAATCTGAACCTCCCCTGGTGCCACTTGAGGCTTTTTCCTTTTGTTCTGTCACTTGTCACCTGGCTGAAGAGACTGAGCCCCAGCTTGTGACAAGCTCCTTTGGTGGAGAGCAATAGCATGTCCCCAAGCCTCCTCTTCTCCAGGCTAAGCACACAGCTCCCTCCTCTGCTCCTCACAGGACCTGTGCTCCAGACCCTTCACCAGCTCCATTGCCCTTCTCTGGACATGCCCCAGCCCCCCTTCTTGGTGTGAGGGGCCCAGAACTGAACACAGGATTTGAGGTGTGGCCTCACCAGTGCTGAGTACAGGGGGACAATCCCTGCCCTGCTCCTGCTGGCCACACTACTGCTGACACAGGCCAAGATGCCATTGGCCCTCTTGGCCACCTGAGCACAAGCTGGGTCATGTTCAGCCAATGTCAGACATCACCCCCAGGTCCTTTTAGCCACTCTGTCCTCAGCCTATAGCACTGCAGGAGTTGCTGTGGCCCAGGGGCAGGATCCAGAACTTGGCCTTGTTTAACCTCTCACCTCTGGCCTTGGTCCATCAATCCATCCTGTCCAGATCCCTCTGCAGATCCCTCTGCAGAGCCCTCCTGCCCTCCAGCAGATCAACACTCCCACCCAACTTAGGGTGTCTATGACCACCCCCCTAGGTGGGTCACGCTGGATGGTCTTTGGAGACCCAACTCAGACTACTCTGTGATTCCATGATTTTGGTAGACGTGCTGATATACACTAGCAATCATCTGATGAAAGTTTGAAAACTGAACATTTCACAGTCATATATAATATTTACTTTTGAGCCTCTCAGAACAACTTCTGCAATTTCCTTTTCTGGATTCCTGTGTAGTGACAAGGAGCAGTGCCCAGAGGGTGAGGCTACCTGGTGTTTTCCCATGTCAGTGCTCATTGTGGTGTGGAACAAACAGCTTTTCACGCCAGCCCACGTGTTGCATTTGCTTGAGCCATACAAATCCTAAGCTACAGCTCTTGTGCTATTACTCTGTTATACTGAGATGCTAACATGAATTTAAATGAGGTGAGTCTAACTCAGTCATAATGTCATGAGAGGAAAATAATTATTTCAACAAAGTTATGCCTTCATAGTTAACCTGCAGAGTACAAAAAGTGCAAAGTACCTGTTGCTTAAATTTAATAAATTCTAGTAAGTGTAGACCTTTCCTGAAAGCCCAAACTCACTAATCTTGTCATTTCTGATCTTGAATGCATTTGTAACCATCTTGTACCCATCGCTTCTGTTCCAAGCAATAGGTCAGAGATGCAGACATTAATCTTGTAAAATTTATTTCCAATCTATCCTCTCTCTGACTTCTTATGCATATTAGTAAAAATCTTTAATTAGGAAAATAGCATTGTCCATTTCACTGGGAGAAAGCTGTCCAGAGTTTTCCTTATCATTCTTCTCTGGTAATAGCACTTTTGACTGCTTCTGACCTCTCCATCCTTCCATTTGTGCACACTGTGAGAAGTAGTTGTATCATCTCATCTAGTTTTGTGCATGGTCTTGTAGTACAACTAAGGACATCTCCCAGATAGCTGCTACCAAGAGGTGTGATCTTGCTCTCACCTGCCCCTTTCTGATGTGATTATCAAAACTGTACTTCCTGATGGCATAGTCATCTGATCCTTGAAGAAGCATTTTCAGACAGCTAAATCAGAAAAAGATAATCACTTTTTCATCTTCTTTCTTTTTACTGTTTAGAGTTGGAACTTCAGAAGACTGATGGGTCTGTCCCTGTGCACAGAAGCCAGACAGTAAGTTGGCTTTGCTAACACACAGACAGCACATTCAAGTGCCTGAATTGTCTTGTTCTACTCTCAGCACTAAAGTGGAATTAAAAAAAAAAAAAAAAAAGGTGCTCTCAGCTCCCATTAAGCACCTTTAAATATTCAAATGTTTAAATATTTAGATGACCTGAACTGCTTCTAAGAGGTTCCAATTGAGGAACAGTAGTCTGTTAATTCACGTACCCATTCCGAGTGTCCTGAGCATCTTCTCTGAGTCCATAGTAACATTTTGGTTCGGAGCACTTGGGTGGTTTTAAAGCCCATTTCCTAGGAGTTCCCAGTTCCAATTGTTGGTTCAGTTCAGCATGCCTTTACATCCTGTGTTAATTATAATTCTTCCCTTAAATAATTCAGGTTTGATGTCTGAGACAGATCTGCTGTAAAGGAGTCCATTAATTGCTTGAATGCTATATCAGAGGTAAGTTTGGCCAAGAGATGTAAAATCCATTAGGAGATGTTAAAATGAAGAGAAAATGCTCATGCTGGAATAAATTCAACTAAGAGACACACAGAATAAAAGGCAGAGGAAAGAATAGCACAAGTCTTTCTATATCCCTTGTATTCATCTTTAAATGACACTATTCCACTTTTAAATTTCAGTTATTACTGAGGTAATGGCATTCAGATTGTCAGTGTAGTATGACAATTACAGTAAAGAAAATATCTCAAAATCTTCAGAAAAGAAATTATTTAGTCTAACATGTACAATAGCTCCTGCCAGAACAAGGGGAAATGATTGCTTTTATTCAAGTGACCTACCAAGTGCCATCTACCACATCAACCAATAAAACATTATCTCTTTATAACCCTGCCAGAAACTTGCTGTTATTATCACTAGACCAGCTACTATGATGTTAATTTTATTTAATTTTTTTTTTTTTTTTTTTTTTTTTTTTAGAAGAGCTAGCATCTTAGTGAATGATGGGAAATTTACAGTGAACATGTCAGATGAAACCCACTCAGAGGCAGATTTATCCATCCAGGGAAGGATGGAAAGGATACAAACCCTACCACTAGTTTCTGACTTCTGCCCCTCTACTTTAGGGCTTGGAGCTTGTAAGCTCTGAATTTCCTGCCTGCTCAGAATTTTCTTTGAGCTCCCCATATTTGATGCACAGCGTGAGGAAGACCGAGAGAGCCTGTAGCACTGTGCAGAATCCTAAACTTCTCCCACGTTTCTGCCCCACAGTGCTGCCCAGCCCCAGCAGGTAATGACCCAGTGACATGCCCCTCTTTTATAAAAAGGCTTTATTTAAGTGAAGTCCTCAATTTGCCTCCTATAGTGCAGATACAATTTCAGGCAATCAATGCTCTGCTTGAGGTACTCCTCCTAATTATAGCAAAAAACCATACGTTCTTGTTCCCCCTGCAGCTTGGGATGTAATTCAACATATCCTTTCTGTGCCTCCACAAAAACTGAGTAATGAATGGAAATGTTGAGTATTGGGTGAAGTTTTTTCATCTCTGACTCGTTACAGGAGCTTTGTAGGAAAATATCTTTCTATTGTTAAAGTATTCATCATTAGGGCTTCCATGGGCTTTCCTTCTCATCGTTACCATTGCATATCCAAATTAACTTCCTGGCTGGCATTGGATAGACTGTGTAGAACGGAGTGAGGGCAGAATGAAGCTAGGGAAGAATGGAGTATTCATGTAGAAAACTAGCTTCCTGAACAATTTCCTGGATTTCTGAGAGATTTGCCAAAACTGACAACTGTCCAAAAGACTGAAGTAGTTCTAGTATGAACAAAAAAAACTTAGAAAAATGGTTCACCTTTAGAATATGTCTTTGCTCAGACTGTTAATTTTAATATACTGTGGGAATTGATGTGGTAAGATAGTCTGTTAGTGTGATGAAATTCAGGATGGCTATAGTATTTAGTGTTTCCTAGTGTTTCAGTGCCATTTATTTTAATGCAGCCCAGAATCAAAAGCTTGTCCCAGCCTCAGGTCACGATGGTTTATGTTTCTGTCATTCCTGATAGACTTGTCCCTCTTACTCTTGATGACTCATGGTTGTGAAGATTTCAGAATTTTCCCTGACAATATATTTCATGCCTGCACTATACTTACTGCTAAAAAGTTCTCCTAATAGCACACTTGAATATTCCTTGCAGCAATACGTGCCCACTGCTTCTTGTTCTTCCCACCATGGACATCTGACGTGCTCTAGACATGTCTCTGTGGGCGTTTGAATAGAAGTCAGGATTTCAGACAGGGTTTGGAAGGAAGGATTGCATCACATGTCTGGTGAGTTATTCCTGCTAATGGAGCCTAATGCAGCATTCTCTTTTCATTGAAACAGCATGGCATTGTTGACTCATGTTTGGTTGTTGGCCCACAGCATCCCTTAGATATGTTTTTTTCCAGAACTTCTTCACAACCAATTGTTTTCTGGTCTTTATTTGTGCTGTTGATTATTTCAGCTTAAATGTTGCTGAAAATGACCCAAAAATCACCTCCCCAAAACATCACCTACCCTGATTAAAATTCCCCACCATACACTGCTGCAGTTTGTCAGATTAGCAGTGCAAGTTAAGTGCATTTCTCCTTGATCCTGCACTCCTGTCCCTGGTTTCACATTTATTGCATGGACAGGTGATGTCTATATCCCGGCACTCTAACGTTTGGGAAGATGGGACATGTTTTGTCACTAGTTGAAGGTAAATTTGCAAACTCAAGTCAGTTGTATCCATGGAAACATCACTTAAACATATGAGTCTGCAGGCTCTCTAGCCCTCTGATTAGAATCTGGGTGTTCTGAAGACCAAGTCCTTCTAGTCCAAAAAAATAAATCATCAGGAACAGTCACTGTATCCAGAACACTCTGTGAACATAAAGAACACTTGTAGAGTTCCTTAATAGATTCCATCAGAGTTTAAACCGCATCTGTACTAAACATTTTGTTAATTCACCTGGTTTAGCAGTCCCAAGGGGTCTGAGTTGCACAACCTTTATTGAGCTCAACAGACACAAGAATTGGACTTGGGATCAGAAGTGTTTGGACAATTTAAGAAAGTATTTAGCCAACAAGTATGGCACCTTCTTTGTGACATTGCTTGAAGAGCAATACTGGAATCAGTGTTCATTTCTGTGAACAAATACAGATGTTGCTCTTAGTTTCTATTCTACTAATTAACAAGCCACTCATTACAATTTCATGAACAGAGGTGTGAGAGAACACCTGACTGATTGGTCTGAATTTTATTCCCAGTCCAGACACTTATTGGCAACCTTATTTAAGATATTTTGTCTCTGCTACCCAGTTTTGTAGTTGGGAAATGATTACTGGTTTCCAGTTCAGAAACAACACTTTGAGGGCAACTAGACTGGGAAATTGTTGTAAGTCTTCATTGTTGTGGTTTTCAGTGAACCAAAATAAATATTTTTCTTTTTATCCCAAAGAGAGGACAATTACTTCAAAATTTAATTTTCCAATGCGATATTTCGAATAAGCTTTCTGTCCACAAAATATTCTACAACATTAATTATTTTACCAAATCTTGCCATCACTGAATTTAGAAAAGTAAATTCAGAAGGAATTTTAATGCTGCCAAAAGTTTAAAATGTGAATGAAAATTATGTGTTGAATATTCAGCTATGAAATTTGCCACAGAACTTCAAAAGTGTTGTACTTTCAAGTAAAAATTTCTGGGAAAGAATTTATCTGCAAACTGTTTTCCTTATGCCCTTATGCCTTTTCCTCCTTAAGAAACAAAAAGGTTTTTTTATATGTCTGACAAATCTGAATAGATTTCAGGGGGGAAAGAAAAGACAATTCTCAGCTAGATGTTAATCCTTCTGCTAAATACCAGATCATGGCAGATAGTAGCATTATGAAAAACTGTCATAGAAAAGTTCAGAAAAATCCTTAACACAAGAAAGTATTTAGGGTCAAGATTAACTCCAGCCATACTGAGGACCCTTGATTTTCCTCTCTACTGCCATGAAGCCCTGTGGGAGATCAGCAACTTACTTTAGATTTCAGATTTGCATTTTCATTGCTAAATGTCCTTTCGGCAGGTCCATTTCTAATATTTGTTTCTAAGCACAATGTTTAAACAGTCTTTCTTGCTATAAAAAGGAGAATGAATTTAAATTTTAATAAGAAAAACCCACAGTGTGCACCAGCATAAAATTAAATATCCCCTGTGCTGCCTTTTGTCCTCTGGGTTTTGTCAAGGGACTGGTATCACTCTAATATTAATTACCTTCAGTATTTCTTATGAATGTTATGATTAGGATTTACAGATACATTGCAACATTTGTCAAAATTTGCTACAATTATACTTAACTGATGCTGCTGGGTATTGGAACAGCATTGTTGTCATATCCTTAATTATTGCACAAAACCCAAAAATGACTATTATATTAAAATATGCAGCCATAACAAAAGTATGACTTAATTTTTATCATCAGGGAAAAAAATGAGCAATTACCATTCCCATTAGCAGGAAACACAAATTTTTTGAGGCCTAATTCTGAAGTGTAATGAACAGGAAAAAAGACTACTTAAGTTTATTATTATTGCTGTTATTATTGCTATTATTTGTAGATCTGTGTGAACAGCTGTGTTACCTTACGAAACCCAGAGAAGAAAAGATTGCTTAGAAAAGAAATTAAAAGATGTGGCAGAAAAGACAAGCTGAGAAGATATTTCTGCACTTATATAACTCTTTACAAAAGTTAACTAAGAATTAAATATGCAGCACTGGTTAAAAGGGAATATCTAAATCTTGATTTCTAATAGATGCAGGGATAATTCCAGAGATAATTTTTCTAGACAGTTCAAGCCTTAGTCTGCCTTTTTTTTTCTCTGTCACAGAAAAGAATCTCACTTCTTAGAATACATGAATTAGATCTGAATAAACTTAACCAATGTGTTTCTCCTTAGTGATTTCTAGCCAAATTTTGAGTTCTGTTTCTCATTGAATTTACATGAATTTTGAAAATCCTACAAAAAGAGTACCTGTGTATTTAGCTGTCCAACTCCACCCCTTTGGGTGCTGGGATGCTAAATTAAGCTTAATTGCCCAAGGATGAGTTACATTCATTGCAAATAATCAGAAACATAGAAACATTTACATTGAAAAAGACCCTTAAGATCTATGAGTCCAACCATAATGAGTACCAATAAAAATTCTGATTGAAAAATTGTGAAAGCATGGATTTGGATTATAACTTCATTCTTTGCTTGTGTCCTTGTGGAGACTCTGATTCCCACAAAAACAGTCACATTCCCCTTTAGATTCCATTAATGATGCCTAAAGTAAAGGAGGTAGGGGGAAAAAAAAAAATCTTTTCTCATTTTTGTCTGTAGACATTCACACAGTTTTCTTCACCCAGAATGTTCTAGCTGGGGATCTGTGGAGTTAGATTATTAAAAGGAATGTAGTCTGCATAGTTGTGGGACTGAATTTTGACAGGATTTATGAGGCCAAATGTGGTAGTTACGAATCAGTTGGCCTGATGTGTAAGTTAAAGTAAAATTTCTATGCTCACTATGGCATTGCAGTTTAGCAATATTTTTTTTCATCTTTGTTGTTGTCTGATATTGACAGGAATATATTGTTTAAATGCCCTACAAGTTGTATTTTATGCAATATCTGTGGAGTTTGCAACAGCTAGTCACAATAGTCTTACATTTTTCTGTAGGAGAAAGTATTTTGTATTTATCTTATTTTTTAATTATTCATTGTATTTGTTTTTTATTCATCATGCTTGTCATTCAAACTAAAAACTTCTGATTTTGGTAGTATGTGGCTAAGAAAGAAAATTTGACATCAGAATCAGTTGGCAATAATAGTAGACTTTTATTAAAAATGCACACTGGAAATATCTATTTCTCAACATTTTCAGTTACCCTAATTAATTCATAAATCTTATCATAAAGAGAGAGACAGAGAGCTCTGAGCTAAAACTAATCTTACTTCTTGACTGACCTGCTAGCAAATTGTGTTATGCCAGACTGTCTATGAAACCAGTGGGCATTAATCACTTGCCTAATTCCACCTCTCCTCTTGTTCAAAGGCTATCCAGGACTCTGATACGACAGAGATCAAGTTTCGGCTGCATGAAGGGTTGACATTGTTCCCTTTCTAAAATGCTTTCATGACAGCTGAACAGGTAAGAAGGCAATAAGCTATAAATTCTCATTAAAAGACTTTGATTGTCTCTTTGTAAGGACTTTATGATTTTCTGAGACCTCAAGGAGAGCAGGTGTCCAGCTGTCCTCAGAAGCTGCAGTGACTAGGACAGCTGGCTCCCTTAGGAAGCCCTTGCCTTAGTATTTGAAATGACTATGATATACATGTGATCTACAAAGCATGTGCTCACTTCAAATATCTTCTGCAAGCTTCTAAAGAAGTCATTCAGCCTTTAAACATATTCCTGAGGCTTGTTTGAATTTAAGTAATGTAAACCAATATAACCTCAAGTTGTCTTTATTTGCACAATGATCTAAGAGATTTCTTTTGGCGGAGAGAAAGCATTGAGTTGTATTTCAAGAGACAATGGGCACATTTAATAGCACTTGGCATTTGCATACTTTTTCTATGTCTGCAGTATGTTGGCAGCTTTTGCTGTGCTGGAAAGGTCACTGGAAAGGAGTGAGTGGGTGATAAGGACAGAAGAGCGACTGTGAGCGTCCCACATGTTTGACAGCAGCGGATTTGGGTGCTCTTGAAAAGGCCAGTATTGACTGAAGCTTCCAGGATGTGACTCTTACATAGGAGAGCACAGTGGTACCTGGGAAGCTGTTTCCATCCATAATAAAAGAGAAAGAGTAAGCTTTACTTCCACAGGGATTAACAAGTGGTGAAGCCAAAGAGAAAAGACTGAATATGTTGTAATACAGGGTGAGAAAGAGAAGACCTGATGAAACTGCGCTTATTAAAGCTATGAAAAATATGAAGTTAATGAGAAGTTCATTTTTCAATTCATGCAATAACTGTACAGAAAATCTCCCTATGCTATGCAATTGCTTACTGTGGCTGCCTGACAGAGATCTGCCACATTTCAATTAAACTTCAATTTGCTGCGGAAATTATATCTGTCTGTGAAACTTCCAGCACTGTACATGAAATAGGCCCCCCAACAAGGCAGTGCTGTGGATCCATGGTGGTTCCTGTTTGTGATCAGTAAGATAACCATTCAGACTTGCCAGCTCAGGCATTTTTTAAGCATCTAAAATTTAGTCTAAAGGTTCATATTGATGGAGTTCTTCTGGTCATTCTGCATCTAGGTAAAATGCTTGATCTTATACTTCTTGTTTCAGTTCTCATTTGCTTCATTTAATGTGTGTTCTCATGAGCTCTTCCTCATCATTTACATTTGTAGCATATGTGCACAGGTTCTATGTTTTTTCTTCAACATGGCAGCATGTCCTTATTTATCTATGAATTATGCTGAAGGGAACAAGAAGACAGCTTTACTTGGCAAATATGTGGGATCCTTTCAGAAGAAATATTCACATCAAAGCATATAGAGATTTGTTTCCATTTGTTTAGACATCAAAAGTCTCACTGGATTTTAAATGCTTGTAAATTATCTGAGCTTAAGTTAAGAGCTTGCCAGTGCTGTCTGATTTGGGGCTAGTTTCTAAATATTGTCAAGAACTGCAGATATGCAAAAATTTCTTGTTTAGAAGAAATTCTTGTTTAGAAGAAATAATGTATTGATTTATATAAATATATATTTAATATAAAGGCTTGTGTTTAGTTTGGTTTGTGGTTGGAGTGATAGTGTGTATCCACTCTGGTTTTATAACACTTGCAAAGAAAAGTATATGATTACAGCATTCTGAATGCTCAGTCCTATCAAGCCTCTCTTATTTCAAGCAGATTACTCACAATAATCTGATACCATGCTTGATAGGGTGCTTTGACTAGTAATAGGGGCAAGCAATCATGTAGAGGGGAGACAGATCTGCACTGCACTTCCACCTGGGAGTAAGAGAGGTAAGGCCTAAATAAAGGAGGATTCATTTGGCAGAAATGTTTATGTAACAAAGTCACAGCGTAAATAACAGCACTGATATTTTTTACTGACGTCTTAGTGTCAAAATAGTAGTGCATAATTGAATTCAAGCTTCAGATATTAATGTGCCTCTCAAATGCTTGCGTGTATTACTGGCTGTATATTCAGTGGCTCTTAGGCACTTGCTCATACCTGTCCTTCATGTTTATCTTGCAGATTTTGGGGATTTGTAGTTATAAACTGCCATTCCTGAATATCCAGCCATTGCCCTGGATGATGTGCAAAAAGCATTTCAGATGTGCAGCTTGGTTGTTTCAGACTCTGATTTGAAAATTATTGCATTAAAAATGTAGAAGAAAGAAGTAATGTACTGTGGTGCCACAGACCACCAGTTCAGGTAGAGAAGGGGAGTTCTTGTTTTGGGTCCAGTGAAACCAGAAATTCAAATTTATAGCAGTTTGGTAAAGGGGCCTATGTTCTGCCTTGCCCCCTTGTCCCCAGACAACCCCTTTGTTGGTTACCTCAGCTGTATCCATTTCAGTGGCTATTTTCTAGTTTATGCCTGTTGCTTAGTGTACTGAAGAGACAGCAAAAGAGCTTAATGAAATTTACTCCCTGCTACTCTTGAACTGGCATTCACAGTATAAACCATTTTTCACTGAAAACAAGGGACATGTTCTTTGGAAGATCTTCAAGATTTTGCAAAGAAACCCTAAGAAGAGGAACTGTAGCTGGAAGGCTTACCTTGCAAGGATGGATTGGAACTGGGAAGAACAGAAAACAGACTCCTAATACTCAGGTTTAGGGTCCCAAGATATCGTTACACCATATTGCATTTACTTCTCTTATACCACAGGTAAATAGCTTTCACTTTGCCTTTTCCTTCTTTGGCAAAAAAATTTTATATGGAGAAAATATTTTGGTTTTTTTTTTATTTTAATGGGGATAAATTAAATGTCGTTAAAGTCACCCATAATGCTCTCTTCTTGCTATTATGTTTTACAAATATTTCTTTTATGTAGGTTTGCTAAACTCAGAAGCTGTATTGTGATGGACCTCATGAATAGTATTTCCATTTCATTCTTCTTCAAGAGCTACATTTTCCAGGTTGCCACTTCCAAGGCCTTTGTTCAGTAATACAGTGAAGAGCTTTTTCTCTGTCCAGAGAATGCAGTAATATAGAAAAGCAGCTTGAGAGTCAGGAGTATTATGTTGTTGATTATGTACATCAAAACTTCCTCTAAAAATGAAAAAAACACAACTATTTTATATTAAAATATGTTGATTTGCATTAATTGTATTCCTGTCCTTCATTAGCTAGATGAATTTTCCATTATTTCAGGCCTGCCTGACATTATGCTAACTAGCTTTATCCTTACCAAGCACTCACAAGTATTAAGATTCTTCTTGTCTGTGGTATTTCCTACTTATTCCACAATCTATTTTCTACAGTAGGAATGTTAGTGTCCAGGACTTACCATGGAGAATTTGCAACATTCTTGGGTGTGAATTCTCCAGAACTACTTACTTTAATTAAAAAAGGTTAAACACTGATGTAGTATATAACATCCCCTTTATCTGCTAGTGAACTAAAAAGTATTCTTTCTGGGTATGTTTATCACCCTCTTTTTCCCAAGCACAGATTATAAATATTTTCAAATATTGTTGCTTTTTCAGTATAACTTAAAATTTTTCATGTCTATCAAGTAATATGTGTATTCTAATACTACCAAATAATGCATCTTAGAAATTTATATTAAAATTTGGAAGCTATGTTTCCATAAATATTCATAACATTCTTGTCCTTTCCAGATGTTGATTTCTCCTTTGTATCCTTAAATTCTCTCATCAGTTTTCTATATTTCAGAAATTCTAATTTACCCTGATATCTATTTCTCCTGTTTCCCCTTCTGTCATTTTCCATCCACAGTAATTGTTGCCTTCATTCATCCACTGATTTATAGCTTTCTAACAGCCTCTAATAAAATTTTTTCATTAAAAAATCCCAATTAAATTTAATATTCCTCCCACTAACTTTCATTAACTTTCTTAAGCCTTGATGAACTGTGTTTGTGTCTGTTTGTGTGTGAGATTAACCTACTTACCTCAATCAACATCAATGAGTTATTAACATTGCCTCCAATGCATCTTTCAACATCGGTCCAGTGATTAAATCATCTTAATCATCATCAGGAGTTATCTTGTGAACTGAAATTACACTTAAGAGAGGATAGACTATTCTACAGAGCTGCATAATATTTTACTGCTCTGTGGCAGAGTGCCTCCTGTGTCTGCTTCCATAATTGAAGTCCTTGCCAATACAATTTAATTTCTTTCCAGATGTATAAGGATGGGTTTAAGGACTAGCTTGCCCTGTTTTCAGATTTGAATCAGTAATCATTTATGTGTATTCAAGTTTTTATAGAACACTTTTATGAGTAACTCAAAACAATTCAGGGGTATTTTGATACAGATTACAGATATCATTCTCTCCATTTCCTCTTTCCCCATCTTATTTTGTATCTGGTCTCTTCTTAGCTTAGCCATAAATGCTCAGGATTGAACAGAAAAGTGCTTAGATATTTATGATATTTTCCTGCTGCTCTTGCCAGCCCATATTGAGATTTTATCCCTGATTTGCTGGCACAGAATTTTTTTTAAACTCTAGTTCTCCAGAAATTAAAGCAAAAAGGCAGAAACAGGAAGCTGAGTCCACCCACAAATGGGCTCAAGGGGATGAACTCAGAATTTCTATTTTGACACTCCCTCTTCAAAACAGAAAACCCACAGGTTTATATCTGCAAACAGAGCTAAAGAGGAAATAACACAAACAAAACTTGATTTCTGCAAGTGTGGTGATAAACACAGCAACAAGCAACAGCAAGATAAACATTTAATTTGATATGGCACATGGTGTTGAAGAAGAAAATATAATGAATATCCCAGGTCTATGAGGTCTCCTGTGTGCCTGACTTTCCTTTCCAGTGTCTTTTGATGCTTTACTGCCTCTGAAAATGCCAGTGAGGGGAGTCCATCAGTGTCTTCAGAAATGTAACTTCTGCTATCTATTCTGAGCAAGCTGATGGCACAAACTGTACGTACTGCACCTAGGTTTGTGCAAAAAAAAAAGGTCCTGTTAAATCCTTATCAGATTTTTAGTAAGTGCTTTCCAATAAGAATACTTCTCATTATTTTAACAGCAGTGAAAACAAAAAGGCCCTATAAAATTAATATTTGTAAAAATTAATTAATTATACCTTTTCTTATCTCCAGAAATTATACATTCCAGCCTTTCTACCTAGATTATCTGATTCTTCTCCTAATTTTCAATGAAATAAGGATTTTTTTTTAAATTTTAATTTTATCTTTTTTTTAAAATGTATTTGAAAACTTGTTCTGACTTTTGCATTTGGTATCTGTGTAACATGGCATGCATCATTGGGTGGATTAATTAAAGAGCCTTTGCTGTGAGTTTTATTTTTGTTTAATTAGAAATCTTTTATGGCAACACCAGCTTTCACTGTACCTTGTTTTAATGAAAAAGGCTATTTTTCTGTCAGTACTCACTGGAGATTGAATTTTCCTTTGGCAGTTTACATGACAGTTTCTGTATTCATTTTCCAACCACAGTCTGAGCCCCTGAGTTTGATTGTTGGTGAGCCACACAAAAATGCAAGTGTGGACTGAAAATTAATTTTGGAATAAAAATCTGCTAGTATTATTCAGTTGTGAATAGGTTGAGTCCAAATACTGGTGCTGAGAATAGAAAAAAGCATCTAGCACACTGGACAAGCAATTCATGATGGACTCAGAACATAGAAACACTGAAAATCTTATTAATGCAGCTAATTCTTCAGGCTTGATCACAATAGCAACAAATTTTCCCAGGAAATGTAATGCATATGTGTATACAAAGAGGATGCTGATCATGCTTTCATCTTACTTCAGGATTATCAGTCCAACACGCTTCTGTTACAGGGAGAATTTAATTTTGGTGTAACTTGACTTTTTACTGTATCCTATATTGCATGCACAAATATTCATGATCTGAAAACTTCAGCTGAGAAGAGATCAATGTCCTATGCTGTCTAGAGATAATTAAATATTTTATCATTGTTCTACAGGGACAACTTCTGTTTAATTAAGTTGGTGTCTTCTGCCTCCATGTCAGACTCTCACAGCCTTTGGAACTACAAGAGAAATGGAAGAAACCACAGCAGCTGTGGATTCCCCACACTGCAGCACCTGCCAGCTCTGGAAAGGCCACTGTGACAGGGATGGATGTGGCCCTGGGTGCAGGGATGTAGTTTAATTCAATCACAGTTTATTTTATTGGGATATTTGAGGACTGTCTGATGTATAACTCATCTGGTATGGGTCAGTCTGCCCAATGTAACCACCTTCATGTGAGGGACAATGAACTCCATCTTCAAACTTCATAAATGTGTTTTTGGCAGAGCTGGTGAGGAAAAAGCCTCCTCTGTCTTCAGGGAGGGAAGGGGGTCAGAACCTTCAACAGGAGATCTAGTTCTGGTTTGCATCACCTTTATTGAGGACCAGTCTACCTTCTTGCTCATTTACTTTCACAAACACCTACTGATTTCTACCTAAAATATAACCTACCAATGAGGTTTTCAGGCTGCTAAGAGGAGGGTGAAAAGAGCATTGCCAAGAATAGT